GTGTGTCATAGTGACCAGTCATTCCCAGTCTTTCTGCTGTTAGGGTCAGTTTGCATATTACCCTTTTACTATATAAGATAGAGGCCTGGTGCATGGGTGGGGGCCAGCTGGTTTGCCCTGAAGGGTGTCCCAGATGAGGGTGGGGGTCCCGCTTGGGTGCCTGGCCAGCCTGGGTGAGGGGCTGATGGCTGTTTGCAGCTGGTCACGCCCCCTTTAGGATGGGGGTCCCCACTGGGGTGCCTGGCCAGCCTGGGTGAGGGGCTGATGGCTGTTTGCAGCTGGTCACACCCCCTTTAGGATGGGGGTCCCCACTGGGGTGCCTGGCCAGTCTGGGTGAGGGACTGAGGGCCATTTTCAGGCTGGCTGGCGACTGAAGCTCCCAGCCTCTCCTTTTTTTTTTTTTTTATCCTGGGATTTATTTACCTTCTATAATTGAAACTTTGTTGCCGTCACTGGAGCTGAGAGTCAGGCTCCTGCTCGCTCCAGCTCTGAGGCCACAGCCTGCTGAAAGCAGGTATTTGGGGTTTGTTTAGCTTCTATAATTGAAACTTTGTTGCTTTTGGAGCTCAGAGCCGGGCCGCGGCAGGCAGGGAACCTTGGCTTCCTCCAACACTGGAGCAAGCAAGCCTCCTGCTCGCTTCAGCTGCGTGGCTGCTGGCCGCCATCTTGGTTGGGTTAATTTGCATATCTCTCTGATTAGCCAATGGGAGGAGTAGCGAAGGTACGGTCAATTACCATGTTTGTCTATTATTAGATAGGATAGATATATAAAACCCTAATATGCAAATAGACCAAACGGCGGAACAACTGAACAACTGGTTGCTATGACGTGTGCTGACCACCAGGGGACACACGCAAAACATGGCGGGCATCAGCCACAGATGGATGGTGGACTAGGTGAGCGGGGGCACCAGACCAAGGCAGGGCACCAGTCGCTGTCATCTGGCAAGCCTCTGGTGGTTACTGAAAATTCTTTGCTCTTGCATGCCGTGGTCCCACCTGGCACTTGCACCTGCTGCCGGTGCCAGAACCACTGCTCGCACCGCTGCTGGCGCCTGGCGCTGGCCCCAATCGCTTGGTGCCGCCAGCGGGTGTGAGCGGTGGCTGCTGGTCCCAATCGCCCCTGAGGGCTTCTCCACCTCCCCCTGCTCCTGAGGGGCAATTGGGGCACCAGCCGCCGCTCGCACCCAATTGATGGTGCTGGCTCCACTGGCACCACTGCTGGCACCGACCCCAATCGCTCTGCACCATCAGTGATATAATATACAGCTCCTGTCCAGAACTCCTAAAACCTTTGTAATTTCCTAAGCAATAAAAGTGCTAGGGGCAGCTTTTTGTTCTAAAGTTTAGCCTCTGACCATGTTTTCTGAGGCAGAGCTCCTAAATCCCTTGAATTTCCTGGGTGATTGGAGCACTTTTTGTCCTAATGAAGCAACTCTTGGTGGGCTTCTGGGTAGCCTCAGGATGTGGTTGGTCACCAGAAAGAACAAGCCTTGATTAGAAGCTTGAAACTTTCCACCCTACCTTCTATCTTCCAGGGAGGGGAGAGGAGAAAGACTGAGTTAACTGTCAGTCATGACCATGCCTATGTGATGAAGTCTCTCTTTGGAAAGCTTCCAGGTTGGTGAACACATACACCCCAACTCCATTGGCACAGAAGCTCTTGCACTCAGGACCCACACTTCACCCTGTGTATCTCTTCAACTAGCTGTTTATCTGTATCCTTTGTCATATCCTTTATTATATAAGAAACCAGTAAACGTGTTTCTCTGAGTTCTGGAAGCAATTTTAAATTATTGAACCTGTTGAGGGGTTCAGAGAAGCACAGGTGACAATCTGAGACTTGCAATTGCCATCTGAAGTGGGGACAGTCTTGTGGGACTTAGCCCTTAACTTGTGGGATCTGATGCTAACTCCAGGTAGATAGTATCGGAACTGAATTGAATGACCACAGCTATGTCAGAGAATTGGTTAGTATGGCAAAAACTAAACAAAACCCGTGTCTGGTCCCAGAAGTATTCTGTATGAGTAGTAAAGGAGAAAAACAAGTCTTTCCTTATACTACCCT